GGTAGGCAACCTCGTCTCTTTTATGACTCGTGGACTTCAACTCAGCAGAGCTGGCTCAGGAATTCTGGGAGTTGAAGTCCACGAGACATAAAAGAGCCGAGGTTGCCTACCCCTGCGCCTAGCGTGATTTTTCAGGATGCTCGGAATATAAGCCCCATCCCAAAAATAAGCCCCAGTTAAGATCATCAGCCAGACGGACCCGTTCAGTACCGCATTTTCCCCCAAAATAAGACCTAAGTGGAAAACAAGTCCTCAAATGCATCTTTTGGAGCCAAAATTAATATAAGATCCAATCTTATTTTGGGGGTGGGGGGAAATGCAGCATGTAGTAAAAGCATGTAGAAATGTTAATGTCTATTGCAAGTGCACGTATGACACGCTATGTATGCCGAATAAAAGAATAGATTCTGAACGGAAAGAACGGGAACGATGAATCGGGGAAAAGAAAACCTCCCACCATATAATGTGGAGTGTGTGTGTGTGTGTGTGTGTGTGTGTGTGTGTGTTGGAAACTCTCTTTCTATTTCTTCTCCACCCATCCGCCCCCGAGTTGAAAAACAACCCACCCCCCACTTTCCAAGCTCCATTCAGAGCCCGCCCTGCTCCTCTGATCGCACGGGAATTCAACAGGCCTTCTTTAAGCCACGTTTCATCTGAGCCACGGGAGCCACAAATCCCGCCAGGTCTTTTGAGTCAGAAAAGGCTGCAATCAGAGGCCTTCGCGGCTTGGAAAGAGCCATTTCACAGGCCTCCCCCCCATAGTGGGGAGGGGAGGAAAGAAGCTGGAGGCGGAAGGGCGCTGACTGTCGCTTGAAGTCGCTCCGCGTGGAATAAACCTCACAAATTGGGGTCTGCTGGGCCCGGCAGTTCACACAGACTGAGGAGCAGCGTGAAGTCGAGTGTTGCAGGCTAATTCATTTCACCCCCACCTGCTAAAATCTGCCCCCCCACCCCAAGATCCCTTGATGGGAATGGGGACTTTCAGCTTTTGCAGATGTCAACACTGCTAACATCAGATGTTTTTGCTTTGATAACATATGGAGTTGCAGCCATTTTCCTTCTGGTGTTTTACTCTTAGAATTAGAATTAGAGCAGTGGTTCTCAACCTGTGGGTCGGGACCCCATTTGGGGTCGAACGACCATTTCACGGGGGTCGCCAAACAACGCAGTCCGCCACTTTTTTTCCCCCTTTTCCTTAGCTGTGCTCCTCCCTTTGATTCTATTGGCTTTTGAAAGCCAATAGAATAGACTCTCTTGAATAGAGTCTAATTCTATTGGCTTTCCAAAGCCAATAGGAATTGTCCAGGCTGTCTCTGCCCGGCTGAGCCCACCAAAAGTCCCATTCTGCAAACGGTGCTGCACCCGTTGAGTAGTCCTCGACTTACGACCGGTTGAGTAGTCCTCGACTTACGACCGGTTGGGGGTCGAGGCATTAAAAAGGTTGAGAACCACTGAATTAGAGGATATTGGGAGGAGGGAGGAGGAATGTGCATGGGAGTTTGGCTAGACCTAACAATACTGTAACTGGTGTGTGAACCAAGGTTTTTGAAAAAAGAGATGATAAGAAATGGCGGGATGGAGTAATGGAGGGAAGGCCTGCATTTCAAACTAATTGGAGAATGTGACTTATGACGGTTAACTGGAGGAGGGAATTGTGCTTTGATACTATGTGCTCAGGGGAGGGGAATTCAAATTTTGGCTTCGACTATGTCAGTGCCAAAGCTGTGCTACTTGAATAAAGATTCTTTGCCTCGAAGCTCTTTGAAGAGTTTCATCTGTCGGAACCACAACAGCAGAAGCCGGGAGACTTTGAGCAGGCGTCGGGGAGGGAGGCCAGAGGATGTAGCGTCTCCCACCCCTGCTTGCCCCAATCTGCTATGCAACGTTTCTCAACCTTGACAATTTTAAGGCATGTGGACTTCAACTCCCAGAATTCCACAGCCAGCAATGCTGGCTGTGGAATTCTGGGAGTTGAAGTCCACATGCCTTAAAATTGTCAAGGTTGAGAAACACTGTGCTAGAGAAACCTCCTCCCCGCCCCCCACTGTTTTGGTCTCCCCACTTAAGTTGGGATGAAGGGAAGGGGGGGGGGGTGTCAGCCAGAAAGCAGCAGGATATTACCTAGCTTTTCCAAAAGACCATTGGACTTCCTTTGCTTTTTCCTGGAAGCTGTGTCGCTTCTCCTCCCAGAAGCTTCTTCAGTTCTGATTGAATGGCGGAAGGATTTATATCCTTTACCGTCATCTGGTCATTTGCACTCTCTCTGAGAGTCGTTGAGGCCACTTGGAAGTTTATCTGTGACACCACTTATCTCCTGTTTACAAAAGTCCTTTTGGCGCTCCACACTCATTTGCACCACCCAGGTGACCCTGAGGGAACAGATGAACCTCCAAGTGGCCTCAACGACTCTCAGAGAGAGTGCAAATGACCAGATGGCTGCAAGGAATAAGAGAATAACAGAGTGGGAAGGGACCTTGGAATTGGAAGGGATATTTAAGGTCATCTAGTCCAACCCCCTGCTCAAGCAGGAGACCCTACATACCATCTCAGACACGTGACTGTCCAGTCTCCTCTTTAAAACTTCCAGTGATGGAGCACCCACAACTTCTGGAGGCAAAGCTGTTCCACTGGTTAATGGTTCTCACTGTCAGGAAGCGTCTCCTTTGTTCTAGGTTGGGATATAAATCCATCCATTCCCCACCATTCAGTCAGAACTGAAGAAGCTTCTTGGGTGAGAAGTAAAACGTCTTCAAGGAAAAAAAAAAAGTCCAGTTGCTTTTTTAAAAAGCATCCTTTGACAATCATGGCCTGGATGACTGAGAATCTCCATCAACATTTAGTTGGGTCATGAAATGTCTGCAATAAAACATCCAAGCTTGAAGATCCATCAAGGATGACCACCTCCTCCTCCTTCTCCTCCTCCTCCTCCTCCTCCTCCTCCTCCTCCTCCTCTCTGCAAACCCAACTCTCTTCTAGCACTGATGATGTTACCTAGTTGGGTAATGAAACGTCTGCAAGAAAACATCCAAACTCAGAGAGCACCAAGGACCCCTCCAGTCCTCCTCCTCCCCCCTCCCCCCTTCCTCCTCCTCCTCCTCCTCCTCCCCACCCCACTCCCTTCTTGCACTGATGATGTTCCCTAGTTGGGTCATGAAATGTCTGCAAGAAAACATCCAAGCTCAGAGAGCATCAAGGACCCCATAGCCTCCCCCTCCTCCTCCTCCTCTTCCTCCTCCTCCTCTCCGCAAACCCAGCTCTCTTCTAGCCCCAATGATGTTACCTATCTGGATCATGAAATGTCTGCAAGAAAACACCCAAGCTCAGAGAGCATCAAGGACCCCTCCAGTCCTCTTCCTCCCTCTCCTCCTCCTCCTCCTCCTCCTCCTCCTCCTCCTCCTCTTCCTCCTCCACCTCCTCCTCCTTCTCTCTGCAAACCCCCACTCCCTTCCAGCCCTGGCGATGTTATCCAGTTTGGGCGAATGAAACGTCTGCAAGAAAACAGCCCAGCTCAGAGAGCACCAAGGACCCCCCTCCTTCACCTGGGTTAACAACACAATAAAATATAAATGTGACAAAGCTCTATCTTCCAATACCAGCGTCTGGGCCATCTAATCACTGAAGCGCAGCAGCATCGTTTAGACGTGAAAGAAATCACATCCTGGGCCGGGAGGCGCCCTCAGCTTACAGACGGCCAGGGTGCAATCTAGAGTTTGGCGTGGGATCCTCGCATTCCCCCCCCCCAGGGGAGGATGCTAAACCCCCTCCCCACCTGTACAGTGAATTCTGCCTGTTTGGGGCTCCTAAGCAGGTAGAGAGATGCTAAGAAACCCATCGCTTTCCCACCCATTTCATCCTCGGCAGCCTCCAGGCCGTAGGTCAAGGTGGTGTCAACCAAACAGGGCGGAGGACCCTTGAGGACCCCCACCCACCGAGACGCCGTGCGAGAAGCACTGCCTGGCAGTCTCCGCGCCCGCCGGGAGTCTGTAAATCTTCCCCCGTCAGAAGCAATGAGCTGAATTAACGGCGGTGCCATCACTTAAGCTTAAAAGAGCCATTCCTCAAGGCGGAGGCAGGCGGAGGCCGCCCACTCCCCTTCCAAGGGCGAGGCAGGCAGGCGTCCACCGGAGGGGGTCTCACTTTGCTGCAGGGGGAGAGGACCCCCCTCCTGGGGGGGGGCAAGGGCTGGGTGGGCGATGCCAGAAGGAGGGAGAGCAGGGGAAGAAGAGGGGGGGTCCTATTGGGCGCCCCCTCCAGGGAGAAAAGGTGGGCAGAGAGAGAGGACAGAGAGGGCGGGGGGGCTTCCAGGAAGGACCAGTGTGTGTGTGGGGGGGTCTCTCCTGAAAAAACAGTTTTTTTCTCTCCTCCTGCCTGACCGCCCCCCTCTGCCGGCTGGAAACAGATGAGAATTTGGGGCGCAGAAGCTCCAGAGCCCCCCTTCCCTGTCCTGTTCCCCGCCCCCAGACCCAACACCTTGGCCGCAGCCCGGCGCCCGGCGTTGCCCGAGAGGCAAGCGAGCGGCTGCGGTGCCTTGATTTAAAGCAGTGGTTCTCAACCGGTGGGTCGGGACCCCATTTGGGGTCGAACGACCATTTCACGGGGGTCGCCAAACAACGCAGTCCGCCATTTTTCCCCCCTTTTCCTTAGCTGTGCTACTCCCTTTTATTCTATTGGCTTTTGAAAGCCAATAGAATAGACTCTCTTGAATAAAGTCTAATTCTATTGGCTTTCAAAAACCAATAGGAATTGCCCAGGCTGTCTCTGCCCTGCTGAGCCCGCCAAAAGTCCCATTCTGCAAACGGGGCTGCACCAGTTGAGTAGTCCTCGACTTACGACTGGTTGAGTGGTCCTCGGCTTACGACCGGTTGGGGGGTCGCGGCATTAAAAAGGTTGAGAACCACTGATTTAAAGCCTGCCCAAGAAAAGTCATTATGGGGAGGGGGGGAAAAACACACACACACACACACACACACACACACACACACAAACCCCAAGAAACTCACGCTTATTTTCGTGGCGTCCTTCCCGGTTTCCTCCTGCGGAGAAGCTTTTAGCTGTCGGAAGGGAGGAAAAGGGGAGAGGAAAGGAGAAGAGAGAAGCTATTAGTTCGGCTTGGAGAAAGAAAGCGGCCGGCGGGGGGCGCAGGGGGAGACCCCATCAAACCCCTCCGCCCCTTGGCCTTTAAAGGCTGGGGAGGGCAGGGATGCGGCGGGAGAGCGGAGGTTAAGGGGAGAGGGAGAGGGGGGGTGCTCAAATCCTGCAAACTGAGAGGGGTTGGGAAGAGTGGGGGAGGGGAGGGGAGGGGAGGGGGGGATGAGTGGGATAAAGCCCAGAGCTTCCAGCCATTTTTTTGCAACCCCAAAAGTGCTTTTTTTTTCAAGAGGCAACTTGGGACTTTACGGTTTTTCTTTGAGGAGGTTTCGCTTCTCATCCCAGAAGCTTCTCCAGGTTCTGACTGGATGGAGGGGGGGGGGAATCCAGTCCGAACCTGAAGAAGCTTCTGGGATGAGAGGCGAAATGTCTTCAAAGGGAAATAAGGAACAATTAGCCAGTGGAACCACCTGCCTCCAGAAGCGGTGAATGCTCCAACACTGGAAGTTTTTAAGAAGAAACTGGACAGCCATTTGTCTGAAATGGTGTAGGGTTTCCTGCCTGAGCAGGGGGTTGGACGGGATGGCCTCCAAGGTCCCTTCCATCTGTTCTTCCTTCCTTCCTTCCTTCCTTCCTTCCTTCCTTCCTTCCTTCCTTCCTTCCTTCCTTCCTCCCTCCCTCCCTCCCTCCCCTCCCTCCCTCCCTTCTCCATCCCTGGAGGTTTTTAAGAAGAGACTGGACAGCCATTTGTCCAAAATGGTATAGGATTTCCTGCCTGAGCAGGGGGTTGGGCTAGAGGACCTCCAAAGTCCCTTCCAACTTTATTATTATTGTTATTGTTATAATTATTATTTCCAGGTGTCTCCTGGAAAAGCACCATTGGACAAACGTGACCTGGCGGACGGAGAATTCTCCTGTGGGAAGTCAGCCCCCCCAGAGAAGGAAATATTAAAAATGGGTGAAAAATATATTTCCTCCAAGGATCTTAAAGCGCCAGGAAAGCATGCCCGGTTTTTCTTAATAGCCCTAGGCCTCTCTCCCCAAGCAGGAACCAGCTCTGTAGAAATGCAGGTGTAAATCCAGGGAGCTAGGCGATTAAGAAGACAAAAGACCTAAAATCTACATACCCCATCCAAACTCTAAGAGTCATCAGCCCCCAGTCTCGGAAGCAGGATATGACATTTGGGAGATAATAGGATTAACCCACCACCATCAGAATACCAGAAAAGCACACTCAGACTCAGGTCAAAGTTCATGCCACAGGAACAACTCCAAACAAAAAGGCTCCAGAGGGTGTAACAACCCACTCCCTACATGTGCTCACTCTCTTTCCTGCCAGAACCATCTTCCTGTCTGGCTCTGCTCTCCAATAAACTACAACCTTCTACCCAAAGCAGTTGCCATGTTTATTCCCAGCTTGGATGAACCAGGATGAAGACTTTTCTTCCAACACTCCACAGACATTTTTTGCAATGTTTCCATGGCTCAACTCGATCTGGGGGGGGGGAGCTGCCAGATCAATGATTCAGAAGGTGCCAGGATCTTTTTAGCACCCCTCAGTAAGGAAACTGGGTGAGGGTGAAAACTGGCTAGGTGACTGGTCAATCTTGACTTTGCCTAGCTTAATTTTTCTGGATGGGGAGCGAAGAGCCGCATGGAGTGCTGGGTCCAGTTTGAGGTGTTGGTTGTGACCGATAAAGCCTCACCTGGCACGGGGCCAGGCTACCTACCAAGTGTCCTTGTCCCATTACATCCTCCCACCACCCTGTAGTTAGTCAACAAAGGTATGTTGCGGACTCCATTAGGTAAAACATAGAATAATAGACTCGGAATGGACCTTGGAGGTCTTCTAGTCCAACCCCCTGCTCAGGCTGGAGTCTCTATACCATTCTGGACAAATGGCTGTCCAATCTCTTCTTAAAAACCTCCAGTGAGGGAGCACCCACGATTTCTAGTTGCAAGCTGTTCCACTGGTTAATTGTCCTCACTGTCAGGAAGTTTCTCTTTAATTCCAGGTTGCTTCTCTCTTTGGTCACTTTCCAACCGTCGCTTCTCCTCCTGTCCTCTGGTGCGTTGGTGAACTTTGTCGGTGGTGTTGGTTCTCAACAAGGCAGGTAACATCATCAGTGAAATTTCAGCTGAACTTCAGTTGTTTCAGTTCTCTTCGGCTTTTATAGGCCTTGTGTGGTCAGCTGGTCACGTGACCGACTGGCCGCAGGCCCTGTGAGGGTCATCTGGTGGTGAGGTCCCTCTGGCTGGAGGTCATATGAGTCAGCTGGGGGTCATGGCCTTCCTCGATGGCTCAGTGGATTGATTTGGCTCCTTACAGACTTGTAGGCTGGTTGCAGATCAATATGTTTGTTGATTGACTCGTTCATTGAATAACAGGCTTTGACAAACTCCCGTACATGATGTGTGGTGGCACAACCAATAATTTTTTGTGTGGTCCCAGTCGAACTGGTGTTGTTTGGTGTCGATGTGTGTCAGGATCAAGGGTTTAAGGAAGAACTGTCCTGTAGCTACGTCCAATGATTGGGCTTTATAAGGCACAAACGTGGGAGCATCTGACATTTTTTTAAAAAATTTGGGGCAGGGTTCGATCTGTCATTTCCAATACTGGTAATCCTCAACTTATGATCAAAAATCCTGACCCCGCCCTCCCCAAAGAGGGACTATTCTGCAAAGGGGCTCCTGCAGTGTGGGGCCGGCCCTTCTCCTGGCCCTCACCCACTTTGGGGGGGGGGGTGTTTGCAGCTGCAACAGTCAAATTAATGGAGGAAAACAACCTCAGCTTCTCCAACAGATTCTGCCATTTACCAGGTCCCATTTTCCTATCTCGGTGGGATTCCTGAGCTCCGAGCATCAGGTGATGGGACAGCGAGGAAAAAGGACTGGAAGGCTGGGAGGAGCTGCAGAAAACACAATTATATCACCCGTGATTAGCTGAGTGGGGGGAGGGTAGCGCTCAGCTCAGCACGGAGATGCGGAGAATGAAGAGCAGAGCAAGGAAAGGTAGGAGGAGGAGGAGAAGGAAGGAGGAGGGGAAGGAGGAGGAGGAAGAGCAAAGAAAGGGGAAGGAGGAGGAGAAGGAATAGGAAGAGGAAGAAAGGAGGAGGAAGAAAGGAGGAGAAGGAGGAAGAGGAAGAGAAAAGAGGAGGAAGAGGAAAAAAGGAGGAGGGGGATGAAGAGGAAAAGAGGAGGGGAAGGAGGAGGAGAAGGAGGAAGAGGAAGAAAAAAGGGGAAGGAGGAGGAGGAGAAGGAAGAGGAAGAGGAAAAAAGGAGGAGGAAGAAAGGAGGAGAAGGAGGAAGAGGAAGAGGAAAAAAGGAGGTGGAAGAAAGGAAGAGAAAGAGAAAAAAGGAGAAGGGGAAGGAGGAGGAGGAGGAAAAAAGGAGGAAGAGAAAAAAGGACGAGGAGGGGAAGGAGAAGGAGAAGGAGGAAGAGGAAGAAAAAAGGAGGGGAAGGAGGAGGAGAAGGAGGAAGAAGAGGAAAAAAGGAGGAGGAGGAAGAAAGGAGGAGAAGGAGGAAGAGGAAGAGGAAAAAAGAGGGGAAGGAGGAGGAGAAGGAGGAGGAAGAGGAAAAAGGAGGAGGAGGAAGAAGAAGAAAAGAGGAGGAGGGGAAGGAGGAAGAGGAGAAGGAGGAAGAGGAAGAAAAAAGGGGAAGTAGGAGGAGAAGGAGAAGGAAGAGGAAGAGGAAGAAAGGAGGAGAAGGAGGAAGAGGAAGAGAAAAGAGGAGGAGGAAGAGGAAGAGAAAAAAGAAGGAGGTGGAAGAAAGGAAGAGAAAGAGAAAAAAGAGGAGGGGAAGGAGGAGGAGGAGGAGGAAGAAAAAAGAAGAAGGAGGAGGACGAGGACAACGACTGTGAGGTCCTTGGTTCTCTCTGAGTTTCACTTTTTTTTTGGCAGATGTTTCCTCACCCCACTTGGGAACACCGTCCGTGCTAAAAGGCGGGGGGGGGCCTCTATGGAGTGGAATGGAAGGGGGAAAGGAGGGGGGGGGAGTCTGGAAAGGCCAAGGCCTCGGAGGAGGAAAGGAGGCCATCAAACAAGGCAAGAGGACGGCTGCTGAGTCCAGCAGAAAGAGGGGGTGCAGCCCTGGGGGAGCAAGGAAGAAAAAACGAGCCAGGCAATGCGCAGAGAGGCTGGCGTCCATTTGGGGGTCCTCAGTGGCTCCGCCTCCAGCATCTGAGCGGCTTGGGGGGGGGGTCCTTCCAGAGCAGAGTTGGCTTCAGCTCTTGGTTAAAGCAGTTTTGGGCCCCCTTCCCCCCCACCCCCGTGAAGATGGTAGGACTTCAACTCCCAGAATTCCCCAGCCAGCCAAGCTGGCTGGGGAATTCTGGGAGTTGAAGTCCACCCATCTTCAGCTTCTCAAGGCTGACCACTTTCGGGGGCGCTCTCCTGGCTCTGAGAAAAAAATAAAATAAATAAAACCAGGCTGATGAGATCCTTTTCCGGATGATGGGAGACTCATAAAAAGGATCCATCTTTCATCTCGAATGGAGCCAGACAGGCTTAGCCAGCAATGTTCAGGCCGGACTAAAAGCCTGGAAATTTATTGCTTGGGACTCGCCTGGCTGAGTCGGCTTCTTCCGAGGCTCACCTGAAAGAGATCCTTCCCTGGACAGGGACGATGGGCACCAGAATTCAGGACAAGATGGAAACAAATCAAGGAGAGAAACCACCTGGAATTAAGGAGGAATTTCCTGACCGTGGGAAAAAAAAAAAAAACTAGTGGAATGGGTTGCCTTCAGAAATTGTGGGAGGTTTTTAAGAAGAGATTGCCTGGCCCTTTGTCTGAAATGGTATGGGGTCTCCTGCTTGGGCAGGGGGTTGGACTAGATGACCTCCAAGGTCCCCTCCGGCTCTGTTCCTCTGTGATTCTGTAAGGTTCTCCTGCTTGGGCAGGGGGTTGGACTAGATGACCTCCAAGGTCCCCTCCGGCTCTGTTCCTCTGTGATTCTGTAAGGTTCTCCTGCTTGGGCAGGGGGTTGGACTAGATGACCTCCAAGGTCCCTTCCGGCTCTGTTCTTCTATGATTCTGTAAGATTCTCCTGCTTGGGCAGGGGGTTGGACTAGATGACCTCCAAGGTCCCTTCCGGCTCTGTTCTTCTATGATTCTGGAAGGGTCATTTAGGCACCGCAAGGGATTCCCTTCACAGCTGTGACTTGTAAAATGAGGCAAAGAAAAGTCGTAAAAATGGGACACAATTCACTTAACAAATATGTCCCACTTAGCAACAGAAATATTGGGCTCAGTATTGTGGTTGTAAGTTGAGGACCACCTGTACAGGCTGAGAAACTAGGGAGGGTCCCTTCTGAGTCTCCTTTCGCCCCCTGTTATAAAAATTATTTATAAAAATTATTATAATTATCTTACCCTTCTGGGAAGCTTACAGATATATATGTGTATATATGTATATGTATATATTTGTTTTCTGAGGTTTTCGCGGGTGTTTGTATGTAGGTCTTTGGTTATTCAGGTTTTCTCCCACATCAAATTGGAAGTGTCTTGGCGACGTTTCCACGAAGTCCCATTCGTCATCTTCAGACTGGTGTTTTCAGCTTCGTGCTTCCTCGAAGCACGAAGCTCAAAACACCAGTCTGAAGATGACGAATGGGACTTCGTCGAAACGTCGCCAAGACACTTTCAATTTGACGGGGGAGAAAACCCGAATAACCAAAGACCTACATATCTACATATGTATATACACATACATACATACATACACATACACACACACACACACACACACACACACATACACACGCAGCTTGCATGTTAGGCAGCTGTATTAACCTCTAGGCCACAGGTTCTCCTCACTTCTGTCAGCTGAACCAGAGAGGGTACATAGTAAGTGTTTTTCCGGTGAAACCAGTCTATCAGAACACCTGGGTTCGAATCTCAGAAGGGTAGGGCTAGCTGATGAGAGCTAAATAGCTCAAAATAACTTTACTAGTCTCCCTTTAACTCTTTGTCGGCAAAATCTAAATTTGGCACAAAAATAGTTTGCTGCAGTAGTATCTGCTTATATGATAAAAAACGCTCCAAGATTGGGGCTAAAAAGCAATAAGTAGATTGCTTTGTAGACCAGGTGTTCTGATAGACTGAAGGGACCTTGGAGGTCATCTAGTCCAACCCCCTGCTCAGGCAGGAAACCCTATACCAATTCGGACAAATGGCTGTCCAGTCTCTTCTTAAAGACTTCCAGTGTTGGAGCATTCAGAGCTTCTGGAGGCAGGTTGTTCCACTGGTTAATTGTTCTCACTGTCAGGAAGTTTCTCCTTAGTTCTAGGTTGCTTCTCTCCTTGATGATAATAATAATAATAATGATAAAAGTTGGAAGGGACCTTGGAGTCATCTAGTCCAACCCCCTGCTCAGGCAGGAAACCCTACACCATTTCGGACAAATGGCTGTCCAGTCTCTTCTTAAAAACTTCCAGTGTTGGAGCATTCACCACTTCTGGAGGCAGGTTGTTCCACTGGTTAATTGTTCTCACTGTCAGGAAGTTTCTCCTTAGTTCCAGGTTGCTTCTCTCCTTGGTCAGTTTCCATCCGTTGCTTCTTGTCCTGCCTTCGGGTGCTAAAGGATAAAGGAGTCCCTGCGGATTTTACTCCACTAGTCGTTGCCAGCCGATGCTCATCTCCGTTTCAAGGCCACTGTGAGCCCTCACTGTCCAAAGATGTTTCTGTGGTCATCTGGTCAGCATGACGTCACAGAACGCTGTTAACCTCCCACCAAAGTGGGAACCTATTTATCTACTTGCATCCACATGCTTTGAAACTGCTAAGTGGGCAGGAGGTGGAGCGAGTAACAGGAGCTCACCCTATCACACAACGCTCAGGTCTCGAACGTGGGAGCGTGGGAAAAAACGAAGGAAGGGAAAGACATGTCTCTGGAGATCCTCCGTCGTCCAGGTTCTGGTTGTCCCAAGGCTTTCTAGCTTTTTCTTTGAAAACGTTTCGTTTCTCATCCAGGAAGCTTCTTCTGCTCTAAAGCTTCCCCAGAGCGGAAGAAGCTTCTGGGATGAGAAGCAAAACGTCTTCAAAGACAGGCTTAAGATCCAGAAGGATCTGGACAGACTTGAACACTGGGCGCTAACTAACAAAATGAAATTCAAGGGTGAAAAAAGCAAGGTTCTACATTTAGGCAAGAAAAACCAAATGCACAAGTACAGCATAGGTGGCACCATGCTCAATAGTAGTAACTGTGAGAGGGACCTCGGAGTCCTAGTGGACAATCACCTAAATAGGAGCCAGCCGTGTGCTGCAGCTGCCAAAAAAGCCAACACAGTGCTAGGCTACATTAACAGAGGGACAGAACTGGGATCAGGTGAAGCGTTAATACCACTTTACAAGGCCTTGGTAAGGCCACACTTGGAATCCTGCATCCAGTTTTGGTCACCACGATGTTAAAAAGATGTTGAGACTCTAGAAAGAGTACAGAGAAGAGCAACAATCCTCTTATCAGGGGACTGGAGGCTAAAACATATAAGGAACAGCTGCTGGAATTGGGTATGTCTAGTTTAATGAAGAGAAGGACGAGGGGGGACATGATAGCAGCCTTCCAATATCTCAGGGGCTGCCCCAAAGAAGAGGGAGTCAAGCTATTCTCCAAAGCGCCTGAATGCAGGACAAGAAGCAACGGGTGGAAACTCTTCAAGGAGAGAAGCAACCTAGAACTAAGGAGAAACTTCCTGACAGGGAGAACAATTAATCAGTGGAACAACCTGCCTCCAGAAGTGGTGAATGCTCCAACACTGGAAGTTTTTAAGAAGAGACTGGACAGCCATTTGTCCGAAATGGTGTAGGGTTTCCTGCCTGAGCAGGGGGTTGGACTAGATGACCTCCAAGGTCCCTTCCAACTTTACTACTATTACTATTACTAAAAATAAGAAAGTCCAGTTACCTCCTGAAAAAAGAAGCACCTTTGGGACAAGGGAAAACAGGGTGATTGGGTCATCGGTGAGACGGGGGACTTGACCCCAGCCCCTTGTTGTCTCCACGAGGGATGGGGATGGACCTCTCAGCCAGCAGGGTCTTCGTGGAAGCAGGGGAGGGTCCAGCTACATAGGAAGAGGGAGGCAGGCGGGGGCCGCAGTACCTGGTTGGTGTCCCAGTTCTCCTTCTCCGTCCAGTCCTTATGGGTGCGCACGTACCACCACTGGATCTCCAACGAGTAGGAAGGGGAGCTGCTCCCACGGAAGGAACAGGCCATCTCCACGTCCTCCCCAGCCCTGGCGGTCATGTCATGAGGAGTCTCGGTGAAAAAGGCTGCAAAGAGAAAGCAAGAGGCGTTAGGGGGCAATCGGAGCTGGAAGACTCAATCGATCAATCAGAATAGAATGGGGAGTCCAGACCCCCGCTCAAGCATGAGACCTTATACCCTTTTCAGACAAGTGACTGTCTAGTCCAGGGGTAGGCAACCTTGGCTCTTTTATGACTGGTGGACTTCAACTCCCAGAATTCCTGAGCCAGCCATGCTGAGGGGAAAGGGAGAGGTTTCCAAGCTGAGCCAGGCTGGCTCAGGAATTCTGGGAGTTGAAGTCCACGAGTCATGAGGGGGGCCATAGTTCCCCCATGCCGGCTCAGGAATTCTGGGAGTTGAAGTCCATGAGTCATGAGGGGGCCATCGTTCCCCCACGCTGGCTCAGGAATTCTGGGAGTTGAAGTCCACGAATCATGAAGGGGTCATAGTTCCCCCACGCTGGCTCAGGAATTCTGGGAGTTGAAGTCCACCAGTCATAAAAGAGCCAAGGTTGCCTATCCCTGGTCTAGTCTCCTCTTAAAAGCCTCCAGTGATAAAGCACCCACAACTTCTGGAGGCAAGTAGTTCCACTGGCTAATTATCCTCATTGTCAGCAAATTCCTCCTTAGTTCTACATTGCGTCTCTCCATGGTTAGTTTCCATCCGTTGCTTCTTGTCCTGCCTTCCGGCGCTTTGGAAAATAGGGTGACATCCCCCCTCTTCTTTATGGCAGCCCCTCAAATACTGGAATACTGCTATCATGCCCCTCCCCCCCAGTCTTTCTTTTCTCTAGACTGGCCAAACCCAAATCCTGCAGCTGTACTTTATATGTTTTAGTCTCCAGACCTTTAATCATCTTAGTTGCTCTTCTTTGCACTTTTTCCCCAAAGTCTCAACATCTTTTTTGTAACTTGGGGGCCACAACTGGATGCAGGATTCCAGGTGTGGCCTTACTAAGGCTTTAATGAAGCGGCAGAATCTGATGTGACTTCAGATTAAGCCACCGGCTAGGGTTTAAGGATGGGTCAAGCCCCCCGCCCGCCCGTCCTTGTCCCCCTGCAATCATAAGCTGGTAGTAAGGCTTGGAGGATTCCCTTTTTGGGGTGCTTCCCTCTCTCCCCTTTTCCATTCCTCAAACCATAAAACTAACCAAGAGCTGCCAATCACTTCCCAGTCCTTCAGCTAATTAGCTATCTTCTTTCCGAATGATTAATCAATTACCCAATTAAAATAAATACTACAGTAGGTGTTATCTGGAGAATATGCAATTAAGACGGCAATTGCTCTTGACTAAACAACACAGACAAGCCAGCATTGGCGGGGTAATCGTTTGGCCTGGCTGGGATTGTCAGAAATTGGTCCCGGGATCCCATCGGCATGCCTAGTTCTGCCGGACGGCAAGCGGCCTCAGCTTCGGCCCAAACAGGCTGAAGAACAGACTATTAGGAAGAAATGAAATAAAAATGGCTTTGCCGCCAGTCTCCTGAAGACGACACATGTCCGCACAAAGAGTGTAGGAGAAGAGCAGGCAGAGACAGGGGGTGGTGGAGTTAAGTGAGTCATTAGCCCGGAATCCTTACATTCCCACAAACGGTCTGATTCCGACTCCTCTTGAATTTTGCCGGCTCTTAATTAGCGCCAATCATTGCTAACTGCTAGTCAACTAGATTCTTGTTTATAGGTGTGAGCAATAAATCAGCTTAACTAGGAAGTCAATGCGCGGTTCAATTTACCTGCCTGAGCATGAGTTACTGGTGCTGCATTCTCACAACCAGCTCAGCTTTGTTAAGGCTCATTTGTCACAGCTCTGGAGTGGCGCAAACACTGGGTAGTTTCGGAGAGAGTCATTGGCCTGGCTCCAGGAAGCGATGAACATGGGTTGAAATGGGTTGTCTGAATGCAACCGCATAATTGGGAGAGGGGGAGGCATTTGGGAATTACCCATGTGGAAAAAGGGCAGGGTTAGGGTTGCATAATTGTGGTCCCCCTCTTGCCATTTTGTGAATTTTACACACACACACACACACACACACACACACAATCCTGGCTGGCTCAGGAATTCTGGGAGGTGAAGTCCACGAGTCATAAAGGAGCCATAGTTCCCCCATGCTGGCTCAGGAATTCTGGGAGTTGAAGTCCACGAGTCACGAGGGGGCCATAGTTCCCCCATCCTGGCTCAGGAATTCTGGGAGTTGAAGTCCACAAGCCATGAAGGGGGTCATAGTTCCCCCATGCTGGCTCAGGAATTCTGGGAGTTGAAGTCCACCAGTCATGAGGGGGCCATAGTTCCCCCATGCTGGCTCAGGAATTCTGGGAGTTGAAGTCCACGAGTCACGAGGGGGCCATAGTTCCCCCATCCTGGCTCAGGAATTCTGGGAGTTGAAGTCCACGAGTCATGAGGGGGTCATAGTTCCCCCATGCTGGCTCAGGAATTCTGGGAGTTGAAGTCCACCAGTCATGAGGGGGCCATAGTTCCCCCATGCTGGCTCAGGAATTCTGGGAGTTGAAGTCCAGAAGTCATGAGGGGGTCATAGTTCCCCCATGCTGGCTCAGGAATTCTGGGAGTTGAAGTCCACAAGCCATGAAGGGGGTCATAGTTCCCCCATGCTGGCTCAGGAATTCTGGGAGTTGAAGTCCACCAGTCATGAGGGGGTCATAGTTCCCCCATGCTGGCTCAGGAATTCTGGGAGTTGAAGTCCACCAGTCATGAGGGGGCCATAGTTCCCCCATGCTGGCTCAGGAATTCTGGGAGTTGAAGTCCAGAAGTCATGAGGGGGTCATAGTTCCCCCATGCTGGCTCAGGAATTCTGGGAGTTGAAGTCCACGAGTCACGAGCGGGCCATAGTTCCCCCATGCTGGCTGAGGAATTCTGGGAGTTGAAGTCCACGAGTCATAAAAGAGCCAAGGTTCCCCACCCCTGCCCTATACCATTTCAGACAAATGGTTGTCCAGTCTCTTTTTAAAAGCCTCCAGTGACGGAGCACCCACAACCTCCGGAGGTAAGCTGTTCCACCGATTAATTGTTCTCACTGTCAAGAAGTTTCTCCTGAATTCTAGGTTGGTTCTCTAGGTGGGCCCAGCCTTCAGAACCACGGCAAAGCCAGGGGCATCGTTTGCACAACCCGGCCAAGTGCCCCCAGCTTTATCCAAGCATCCCGTCTCCCTGGTGACCCACATCCGTCATCCTGGGGGGGGGGGGAGAGGCTGGACCCAGGAGCTGCAGTCTCCCTTGAGTCTTGATCAGTCCAATAGTGAATTAGCATCAAGCTTGACAGAAAAGCTAATACCCTTAATATGTCTTTGTCCCCTGGAGCCGGAGAAATCTCAGACAGTTATCGCTTTCCTTTAATCCATCTTAACAGGGTGCAGTGGAAAATACGGCGCGAGGGGCTTAATGAAGCCGTCCCCGTCTCCTGGCTGGTTTTACAAGATAATTTCTCTCTCTGTATTCCTCAGGTCTGGCTGGAAATCCACCTGAGACCCTGACTGATGGGGAGCAGCTCTCTCAGGGTCCGGGGCTGTAGGAGCGGAACAGAATAACAGAGTTGGAATGGACGTTGGAGGTCATCTAGTCCAACCCCCTGCTCAGGCAGGAAAGCCTATACCATTTCAGACAAATGGTAGTCCAATTTCATCTTAAAAACGTCCAGTGTTGGAGCATTCACAACCTCTGGAGGCAGGTTGTTCCACTGGTTAATTGTTCTCACTATCAGGAAATTCCTCCTTAGTTCCAGGTTGCTTCTTTCCTTGGTTAGTTTCCACCCGTTGCTTCTTGTCCTGCCTTCAGGAGCTTTGGAGAAGAGTTTGACTCCCTCTTCTTTGGGGCAGCCCCTGAGATACTGGAAGACTGCTATCATGTCATCTCTCGTCCTTCTTTTCTCTAGACTGGCCAAACCCAATTCCTACATCTGTTCTTGATATGTTTTTGTCTCCAGGCCTTTAATTATTTTAGTTGCTCTTTGCACTTTTTCCAAAGCCTCAACATCTTTTTTGTAATGTGGTGACCAAAACTGGATGTAGGATTCCAGGTGTGGCCTTACTAAGGCTTTATAGAGCAGTACTAAGACTTCTCCTGGCTTTGATTCTATGCCTCTGTTTATACAACCTGAGATGGTATAAGTTCTCTTGCTTGAGCAGGGGGCTGGACTAGAAGACCTGCAAGGTCCCTTCCAAGTATTCTATTCTATTCTATTCTGTTCTGTTCTGTTCTGTTCTGTTCTGTTCTGTCCTATCCTATCCTATCCTATCCTATCCTATCCTATCCTATCCTATCCTATCCTATCCTATTCTATCTTCTATCTTCTATTCTATTCTATTCCATTCCATTCCACTCCATGCTATCTTCTATTCTATTCTATTCTATTCTATTCTATTCTAGTCTAGTCTAGTCTAGTCTATTCTAGTCTAGTCTAGTCTAGTCTAGTCTAGTCTGCTCTGCTCTGCTATGTTCTGTTCTGTTCTATCCTATCCTATCCTATCCTATCCTATCCTATCCTATCCTATCCTATCCTATTCTATTCTATTCTATTCTATTCTATCTTCTATTCTATCTTCTATCTTCTATTCTATTCCATTCCATTCCAATCCATGTTATCTTCTATTCTATTCTATTCTATTCTATTCTATTCTATTCTATTCTATTCTATTCTATTCTATTCTACTCTACTCTACTCTACTCTACTCTACTCTACTCTACTCCACTCCACTCCACTCCACTCCACTCCATTCTATTCTATTCTATTCTGTTCTGTTCTGTTCTGTTCTGTTCTGTTCTGTTCATTCTATTCTATTCTATTCTATTCTATTCTATTCTATTCTATTCTATTCTTCTATTCTGTTCTGTTCCATTCCATTCCATATTTTCTATTCTATTCTACTCTACTCTACTCTACTCTACTCTACTCTACTCTATTCTATCTTCTATTCTATTCTATTCTATTCTATTCTATTCTATTCTATTCTATTCTATTCTATTCTATTCTATTCTATTCTATTCTTCTATTCTGTTCTGTTCCATTCCATTCCA